TAAACTAGAGAGACAGATGAGTTATAAGGCATAAGGGAAACATTATTTTAACCTCTCTGGGCATTCCTTCAAAAATGTTAAAAATCTTCAGAGCTTTCCAGTGTAGCATTTAAGGAGCAGGAAATTTGACTCTGTAGCAGTAAACATGTTTCCTTTTGAAACTAACTGTATACTGTTGTAGCCCAAGTCTATGCAGGAGCACACTGAGAGTCCTTTTGGAGAATACCTGTGAGGATTTTACTGGATTAGAGATTTGAGAATAAAAAGATTATTTTTAGCATGATACTGAAGAGGGTTTTGTAACTGAGACTTAGAAGATAACAGAACAAAGCCCACTTGCAAGCAAGAGTTCATAATACCAGTATAATTAGTAGGAGAAGAAATGTCACAAAAAGTTTTGCAAAGTAAATGTCCTCACTCAAAACTACCAGCCAGGAACAAAAAAAAAAAAAAAAAAAAAAAAAAATTTCAGCTGTTTTGTAATCTAGCTTGCTCAAGCTCTGGCATGCCTACCGAGATGGGAGTAACTTATGTATGAACAGATTGTTAGGGAAAGGCTTGAAAGGGTCAGCCTCAAGCTATAGCGGATTGTGTTGATCATATATTCCTCTGAGTCAACGATGACCTAATGAAAACATTTAGGCTTCCTCGTAACGTGATCGTGACCTTCTAAGCACAGCGCCCAGGTCAAATGGACTCAAAAATTCCCACCAGAGAGAAGAATTAATCACCTTCCACTTTGGGTTGACGTCTGGTTGTAGACATCTCAATGTGGCATGGTCTGAGGCATGGTGTGAGGAACACGCTCCCTTTCCCAGGAGCTGATGGCTCACAGTTTTAGGCCAGAAGGGGACATTGATATTCTCTGCTTCCCCTGGTGCGTGATGCATCCTCTCAGCTCAGATTGCTCAGGGGACTGTGTTAAGTGTGTTGACTAAATCTCTATTAATTATAACATGAGTTTACACATGTCTAGCTGACAAGTAAATACTTGCTTGTATGTACCTATTTAGGTGTCTGAATCTTGAGCTGAATCTCTCCCTCAAAATGTTTAGGTAATTAAAGAAAGATAAGATCTCCTAAGGTTTTTCTTTTCCTGTTTTTTATGAAACACGGTTGTGATTGCAAGCTGGTTAAAGGCTCTGCTTTTCAGTTCAGCCACCAAAATCAGTATCGTGAAATAGGTGCCTTGAAGCAGGCCAGATAGCATTTCTCAAAAGGCGCTGCTCCACTGCGTCCCCAGTGACTGTCCAAAGAGCCTTTGCTCAGGTGGTAGCGGTGCCCTGGCTCCTGCAGAATCACCCCAGCCATGCATGGCACCGTGGGGGTATCCGGGAGCATCACTGCTCAGCAAGGAGTTCATGGAGTAGATCCTCAGCTGGTGCAAAACCCGAGCAGCTCCCTTCATCCAGCGGGAGCTATGCTGAGGTTCACGTCACCTGAAAAACCAGTCCTGATGGTGTTCAAAAACTTCCCTAGCATTTTAAACAATAAATTCATTAGGTTTTTGCATAATGGTGTCCATTTTCAAGCAGCTGAGGCATGGTCTCCCATGTTTATGAGTTGATAACTCTTAATTTTAGGCCAGAAGGGGCATTAATATTCGCTGCTTCACCCTGGCACGTGATGCAGGTTTAGAGTAGTCGTAAGTGGTTCCCAGCAAAGGCCTGAGAAATATTTCTACTTGTCCAGCCAGCGCCTGCAGCCGAGTAGTGAGAAGAAAACATCCTCGGAGTTACAGGCACAAACCACAACTCCAAGGACCCGAGGTTTTTTTGTCTGCTGAATTTGGCATTGTGCCCTGCACAGGTATTCTGCTGTTTTAATAAAAACCGGTAACATCAGTAGGTGCAGTAGATATTTCATAGCTGTATAAGCAACAACAGAAAGACGGGAGAGAATGGAGAGCAAATAACAGGTGGTATGGTAAGGAAGTTGAAATGCTTTATGGTGCTTATTCCAGTCTTAAATGAAAAGGATAACAGTAACAGGATATTTAGTACAATCAGAGCTAACAGAGCTAGGAAGCCTTCATAAGGGAGAATCCAGAAGAAAAAGGCTGCTGATTGCCTAAATCACTTGAATATTCTTAAATCAGCGAGGCTAAATGAAATTCACCCTTGACTATAGTGCTTAAAAGAGCTGGTGCGAAAAGCCATTGGTTTATAAAAGCCTCTCCTGTCTTCTAGAGACACTGCGATGGTACGCGCTCTTCAAATCCCTTGGTAAAAAACACTGCAATTATATGTACCCTTAACGCCATCAGCGACAAGCGCGACTCGCGACTGCATGCAGTCGTGCACACACTCACACGCACTGAGATGGCTTTTTCTAGCTGTTTGAGCAAAATGAAGAATAAGAGTGAAAAGTGACATTGGTTTTGATATGTGGCATTAACTTTCAGGCTGATGAAAGGGAGCAACATGTTCTAATTATTATTCCTCTTCAAAATAAGCCACGAGCTCAGACAAAAGAGGAGAGAAAGGGAGGAAGAAAATCCAGGAGAGAAACAGAATCACATTTTCTCACTTATCTAACTAAAGCAAGGCGGGCGAGCGAGAGGGAGAGCTCGCCGTGCTCAGACAGCGGCGATGCCCCATTTATTCTGGGAAAGGTGGGAGATGGAGGCAGTCGCTCTGCCGGGCCCGCAGGAATTGTCCGTCCCTGCCAGAGGGGAGCTCTCTTCCCAGTGCTAATCCACACTCATCCTGGTGCCTGTTGAACCCCGTGTCCTAATTTAGTGGCAAAACTGCGCCTGTGTTTTGCCTTGGTTCGTGGTACGGATGCTTCCAGCACAGACCTGCCTCGGGAGCATCAGGGACAGTGCTGGCGTGTCCCACTGCACCAAGGGAAGGTGCTGGCTCCACGATAGACTCCGTATATTTTACAACTTCATTTGAACTGCCCTTTAGCGACTCGTTCTGCTTCCTGAGCAGCGTGTACTGGAGATTAACCTCCCCCCCACGGGTCGTCTGGCTCATCCCCAGCGTACCCGCTATCCGCATTATTCCCGTGTCCCGATGCCACGTTTCATCTTGGCTCCCGTGTAAGGTTAAACGCCCCCAACCTTCTTAAAAAAAGCACTTCCTGCAATCAGAGCTTTGCCACCCACTGCCATATGTCCACTGCTCCCTCTCCTACAAGGTACCGTTTAATGACATTAAGATATCTGCAGCCAAGTGCCTGACATTTGTGACTCTGGGGAAGGGGAGCAGCCGTTTTGCCTCTTAGAAAGTGCCTTAGAAATGAATTTCAGTAAGGGAGGAGAGGAGTGTCTTCTTTTCTGCTTTGGAGGCTGATGAAGTGATCTCAAGCCCTACTCGGCCCTGTGCCACGCCAGAGGTGATAGCGAGGAGCTGCAGACTTGCTGCTTGCATGTTGGTTTGGTTTTTTTTCTCAGAAGAGGAGCGTTGTCATTTTTCCATCCCTTTTTTATCCCCAAACAACTGCAGGATGGCCAGGCCTCAGGTCTTCAGGCTGTACCTAGAATTGCCAGTGTTGAGGAGGGCTGGCGAGCAGGGGGCTGGCAGCCAGCCTGAGACCCTGGTCGCCTCCCTGCTGCCACAGCCCCGCAGGCACCCATGGGGTTCAGCTCCCCGCAGTAGTTACATCCTCGCTTTGGCAGAGCTTGCACCAGGCTGACATGGCTCTCCAGCAGGAAAGTGATGTGAATTCCTGCTACGAGGAGAAATCCTCTGTTCTTCTCCTGGATGAAGCCTGCTTCTTCAATTTGGGTGGGGAAAGGGGAAGCCCTGGAAGCAGTCCCAGGTGTCACTGCCTCCTCACCTGCCTGGCCAGCCCATTAGCTGCCCTCCCATCTCGCGGTGCCCCTGCCCCGTTCCCATCCTGCTCCTGCTGTGACTTGGCTCTCGCGCGCTGCAGGGACAGGCACGCTGCTGAAAAAGAAAACGAGAGCCAAGTAGCTTCTGGAAGACCAGAGGCATCTGCAGGCCAGCAGATGCTGCTGGCACTCAGCGGTCTCAGGACCAGTCGCACGGACCTCAGGAATATTTATTTGCATCCTGGCCTCAGTCCCAGTTGGGATCTTTGGATGCTGCCGCTCTATGAATATTTATTACAACAGATGATTATCTTTTCTTGCTGCACACCCTTAGTTTGCATCCTGGTTTTGTGCATTTCTTCTCAAGAACCACATTTTCCTGTTACTCTGCTTTTCACTGTACTCTTGTGCTGTGTTGTGATATAACCAATTATATATAAAAAGAATAATCTGGGGATGGACTCTTGGTTTTTCGATTGCAGTTTTCTCTCTTGGGGTTTTGTTCTCCTTTAAGCCATGTTCAGTGACAGACAGGTTCATTTGCTCAGATGTCCTTTGCCCTCCAAGGTTTAATGTATTTATTTAGAAGATGAAACTTACTGTCAGTATTTGTATAGCACCCTCTGGAGTCTGACTTCCCCAAAATCTAGAAGTACATCATTTGTTTCACCAACAAATAAACCCTATTAATTAAAAGATTTTTAATGAATATTGGCTGATATTATTCAGTCCCTGCCATAGCAGTTGTTGAAATCCACCCTGTTTACCATCTTTTGTTTCACATTTATAGTGCCAGAAAAGACTTCTTTCGGGTTTTTTTACAGTGCAACAACCATGCTCACATTTCAAGGTTAATTCAGAAAACTCGAGAGCTTACTCCATGTCTCCAGTGCACAGGGTGTTATATTCCGCCTGAGTTCAGAATCAGCTTGTATTTCAAATATCCCTCCATACGGTGCTATATAACAAGAGTTGCCACCTTCTGAAGATTATTTTCAGTCTCCTGAGACCAAAACCATCCTGTGTCGGGGAGCACTGAGGGCTGGGCTGTCTCTGTCCCACCCAAGCACTAGGCAGTGCTCATATGTGGCATCCATGACAAGTGTCTTTCCAGGTTGGGTGACAGGGGACGGTTTGCAGGGAAGGGAGGCGGAGATGCCGAGCAGCTGAACTCCGGCATGAAGGCAGTAGTGTGTTATTATTTTTCTCCTGCTCACAGTACGCTGCGGAGTTGCTGGCAGTGGTGCGCCTCCCCTTCATCCATCCCAGCTATCTGCTAAACGTTGTTGACAACGAGGAGTTGATAAAGTCTTCGGAGGCTTGCCGGGATCTAGTGAACGAAGCCAAACGTTATCACATGCTGCCGCACGCCCGACAAGAGATGCAGACGCCAAGGACCCGGCCCAGGCTCTCTGCAGGTAAAGGAAAACTTCCTTCAACACCAGGTCCCTGGTCCAGCAGTTCCTGGGCATGGCCAGGACATGCCCTGGGATGGGGCATGGACTTTGGCTCCTCTTGGCTCCTTCTCGGGGCCTGGTGATATTTCAAGCTCAGTTTTCCATTCCTCCTTTGCTCAAGTGTTTAGGAGCTTCTCCCAGTGGTCAGACGTTGGTGTGGAGATGTACACTCCTGAAACTAGATTTTAAGGAGCTTAATTTTTAAGAATTACTAGTTTTGGCGTGACATTCCCGTGTTGTCCTGAAAGTGAGCCCCTTGCTGTCCATGCCTCAGTTTCTCTAGCTGCAAATATGGGTGAATAATAACATTTGCTTTTTACCATTCGGCCTCTTGCAGGGAGCAGCTGATTAATACTCATAAAACAGCTTCACTTTCGCAGCCCTATGTAAATATATTACTTTTATACAGTGAGTCTTATAGTACCAGTTCAGGCTGCTTGCAGCCTCCAAAACAAATGGATCACACATAATGTATTCCCTTTTAAAAACCCAGCAGCTATGGAGAACTGTGCCGCTTCAAGAAGTTTCTCACCAGAGGAACACATATGTTTTTCTTTTTGGAAAAATACATGAAAAAAACCCAAGTGCCCAACTCAGCAGCAGAGCCCGTATCATGGTAGTGTGAGAAATACCCTAAATATTTGTTGAACAGAGAGTGGTACACATATCATGTAGGAACACTGCATCCGAGAAGGAGTCCGATGAAACGGGTGAATTGTTTTAACGTGCTGCCTGCACTTCTGCCTCCCCTAAGAACAATCACAAAGCCAGGCAGAACTTTCTGTCGCTGCCCCTAATGCTAATGTGGCACAGAGATGGCATATCAAACCACAGCATTTGCAGCTTCTGGAGACTGCCTCATCAAGGCACCTTTCAGAAGGATGAAGTGTAGAGGACTTTCAATAACAATCTACCCTAAAAAGTCTTTCATTGAAGACGACTGATGGTGTGATGTTTGAAGGGATTTTTGAAAAGTGCTTATTTTATGTATATAAAATTGTAGGTGTAATATGAACCATTTCCAGAAGCTTGTTGATGAGGGAAAAGTGATTCTCTCGGGGTAAGAGAGGGTGATTATAGTTTTTTAGGTCAGAGTCTAATTGTATAGAATCATGTTATTTTGCATATCAACAGCATTCATGTAGGCACAAAAGATCTCTAAACACCCTTTGTGGGCTCGCTGCAGCATGTCACGTGCCCTCTCGAGGTTATTGATTATAATCAAGTTATGTCTTGCACAGGTGATTAGATTTTCTGGTATGGCGCAAAAATAATGATCTCTTGTTACTGAGAAATATTTATTTAAAACTGTACAGCACTTTAACTTAATAACTTTTAAGAGAGTAACCTTGCTTGAATGACACAAGTATATTTTTTGAAAAGGCTAATGAAGAATGACAATAATCCATTACTCTGAAGACGCATTTCTCTCCACTGCAGCTCCTAATCTCTCTTCCTGGCAATCTCACTTCTGCACTTCTGACCCCCCAACCCGTGCACCCTTGTCTCTAGGCTGGGCGCCGTAACACATCACAGCAATGGGTCTGGCCGCGAGCACAGCTCCTGAAATAGCAATTCCTTCCAGCTCATGGCTTTGTGGTCCTGCTTCTGAGCCTACCTCTCCTGGCAACAAGTTGCACTGGGGCTTACAATTGCTGCAGAAGGATTTTTAATGCTTCTGCTAAGTGCTAAATCCACACTATCCCCCGCACTTGACTCTTGGGGTTGGAACCATAAAACGTCCCAGAGTTAAACTGCAACCCGCCACTGCAGAGATGAGTCTCGAGTAACATTCAGATCAGATTTGACTCAGTTCTGGCTGTAAAGTGGGAACAAAAACTCTGAGATGTGGATTGCAAAAGTTTTGTCCATTTGCACAAACAGAGAATTTGGCTTGCTGTACACCCTGCATCTTACAGGCTTGGGGGAGCTGTTCAAGTCCAGATAAAGCTCAGTTAATAACAATATTAAGGCATGGGCTATCTCCATCGCATTTCCTAGCATCTAGTACACTAAGATCTTGATTCATGGCTTGAGCACATGTTATCTACATCTGGAAAACCTGCTTTCTCTGGGAAAAGCACAAAAAAAACCACCAGAAAATGGTCTGTTCATAGAGTATATGGAGAGACAAAATCAGGATGAAGAACCATAACTATAGCCTTAATCTCCTCCAGACATTAGCTTTTACTGTGAGAACACCTTCTTCAGGTTGAGGTCCAAACATACTTTCCCTGGATAACGGCCAAGCTCCAAAGCTATCACAGTCCTCGACAGAATTCCCATTTTCTTCAGTGGAACAGGAATTTGCTACATGCAGGTCTCACTCAAAGACTGTTGAAGTCAATGGACATCTTTACATGGAAAGGCCTTTTTATTTCTTTCCCCTTCAAGTTTTGCCCAGATGGCATGCTCCCTCCCAAGTTCTCCCAAGCATGTTCCTAGTGTCGTTCCTCACCCACTGCTCTCCTCCACCCACACACTCCCTTTTTTCTCACCCTTCCTGGTTTGATTGCACAGCCTGAAACAGATTTACATATGATACATTAAAATTACCCTGACTGCCGAGTATTTTTTGATATGCTTCTGCCTGGTTGAGAGATGTTTTTTTATAATATTATTTTTCTTACTTGAAACCTAGGTGTAGCCGAGGTAATAGTCTTAGTTGGGGGTCGCCAGATGATTGGCATGAATCAACGTGCTTTAACAGCAGTCACTTGCTTAAATCCTCAAAACAACAAGTGGTACCCGTTGGCCAGCCTGCCCTTCTATGATCGAGAGTTTTTCAGTGTGGTCAGCGCTGGGGACAACATCTATCTCTCAGGTAAGCATCAGATGTCATAGAAATGTAGAATCATAGAATGGTTTCGGTTGGAAGGGACTTTCAAAGATCATCCAGTCCAACCCCCCTGCCATGGACAGGGACGCCTTCCACTAGATCAGGTTGCTCAAAGCCCCATCCAACCTGACCTTAAACACTTCCAATGATCGGGCATCCCACCTTCTCTGGACAAACTGTTCCAGTGTCTCACTACCCTCATCATAAAAATTTATGTCCAATCTAAAACTACCCTTGTTCAGTTTAAAGTTGTTGCCCCTTGTCCTGTCACTACAGGCTCTGGTAAAAAAATCTCTCTCTGAATTTCTTACAAGACCCCTTTATATATTGAAAAGCCACAAGAAAGTCTCCCTGGAGCCTTCTCTTCTCCAGGCTGAGCAACCCCAGCTCTCTCAGCCTGTCCTTACAGGAGACGTATTCCAATCCTCTGATCATTTTTGTGGCCCTCCTCTGGACCCGCTCCAACAGGTCCATCTCTTTCCTGTGCTGAGGACCCCAGAGCTGGATGCAGCACTCCAGGTGGGGTCTCAGGAGAGCAGAGCAGAGGGGCAGAATCGCCTCCCTTGACCTGCTGGTTACAATTCTTTTGAGGCAGCCCAGGGTATGGTTGGCTCTCTGGGCTGCAAGAGCACATTGCTGTCTCATGTCCAATTTTTCATCCACCAGTATCCCCCAGTCTTTCTCCACAGGGCTGCTCTCAATCCCTTCATCCCCCAGATTTACTAGGCTGGGAGAAGAGTTTCCTCCTTACAACGTAGGACATGCAGGAGTTGTACCCAGCTGCTCCTGGGGAAAAAAAAAAAAGACAAGTGGGAGGGAGGTTGGGAGAGAGGGATTTCCTTACTTTTATCATTCTCCATTTCTCTCTGGTGTTAACGTTCTCTCAAAGCAGTCAACAGCAATATTTTGCAGTTGCAACGTGAAGAAAATAGGTCTGACAACCATCAAGCATGCAAAGAGGTTTCACTGCCATAGAAACACAATTTAAAATACTGGCTGTAGTTGAGTCTAAGTGGTGGGTTATGGAATTTGAGACAGACAGGCTGAACTGCTGAATATGTGACCTACACTTACAGTATTTGCTTACAGGAGCATTCACGTTTTGTAGTTCTTGTTGAGACCTCTCTTTTGGCAGTAGTCACTAGCCCTATAATCTTCTTAGTTTCGATGAAACTGAGACCGCGCTCCTTAAAAGGCTTTAACTCCCAAAGTAGCTGTCTACACTGCGCCCATAGCATCACGGTGTCTGGTTTTGTGCAGTCTGGTGGTACCTCTGCTTGGCTGGAGGGGGAAAAGCAATTTCCACCAGGCCATGCAAGGATGCTCTGATGGCAGCTGAGTGGAGGTTTGATGATAAAAAGAGGAGCCTGGGCAGGGAGGTGCAGATGTGTGCAATCTGAGGATGTAGTTGGGAGTGCGGATGCACCAGACAGTACCAGTAAGGGATTACAGCTGTTGCCTTTCCCTTGCTGAGTTCCCTCACTGCATTTTCTGCAGTAAATCACTGCCTGTGGTGTTAAATTCCATTAATACTGCATAGAGGCCCTAAGGATTGGTTGGAAATTTTTTCTTGACATTTTTTTGCCCATGCTCGTTTTGCTGATGGAGCGAAAGCCTTCTATGGAGGCTTTTGTGAGGTGTTGACTTTTAGTTATTCTTAGCTGAGTTACTTTCCAATATGTAGAGCCATTTTAGGCTGTGCCATACCTGCTAACAAAAGCTGTTGAACACTAAATTCAAAGCTTATTTCAGCTCTTACCCTTGAATCTGGATGAGCTGATGGTGTTCAGTGGCTACAGTAGGAGAGCTGGAAGTCCCACATGGCTGGAAACCTAGCTGAGTGTCGGTGGATATTTTGCTTTACTCAAACTTAAAAGACACAGGAAAGAGGGAAGGGGAACCAACAGAGGTGGGAATGAACTCCTGCAAGCTCCAAGTACTGGACTCCACGCTGCATAGCATACATTTGTAGAGCAAAATACCAAGGAGGAAGCCTGGTTTTCTCATTAAACCACAGAACTGAGTCTAGTTTCTTTTCCTGGCTTGACCAGTGACTCCTAGTGTGGTCTCAGATAAATCATTTCACCTCTTTATGCTTCAAAATGGGGATAGTAAGACACCCACTAAGCGGCTACCTTGGAAGCTTCAGTCAGAAGTTAAAAAATGACCAATATAAATATTTCACCGGAGCATTTTGAACTGTTTTACAGGAGTGGTACAGCTGGTTCTTTATCAGCAAATGAAAATAAATAAGAAATTTGTCCCTGAAAATCAGACATTAAGCCTACAGTGGAAGCACTGACTATTCTGCCCATGTATGTGTTGCTTCAATTCATCACTGTATTAAGCATTTTAGATTTCAGCCTGGCCTGTGTCTCACAAGCCAAGATAGGCTCTGCCTCCTGACACCTTCTTGCAAGTGTTGCAGTAATTTAATAGACTGGAAGTTATTTATGAACACTGAAAAGGGTCTATCCCCTTATGTATATGTCCCTCGTAGTCTGACATCTTGATTTCTTCATGTCATCTTATTAAAAAAAAAACAGCCTTTGGGGCACATGAATAAATGACACAGATATGCATCATCGGAACAGATGCTCAGTATTGAGGGTGATTTATTTTAATTAGTCAAATGTCATTTGAAGTGTTTTTACTTTGTAACTGGCTTTGATTGCTGTGTGCAAAGCTGCTGCCGTTCCAGGATCTCACGTAATTCTCCCCTTTTCTTTCCCTCGCCCGCACGTCGGTGCCAGGCGGCATGGAGTCGGGTGTCACGCTCGCTGATGTCTGGTGTTACATGTCCTTGCTCGATAACTGGAACCTCGTGTCCCGCATGACAGTCCCCAGGTGTCGACATAACAGCCTGGTGTACGATGGGAAAATTTATACCATTGGAGGGGTCGGTGTGGCAGGCAACGTTGACCATGTGGAAAGGTAAAGAAAAAAAAAAAAACAAAAAAACAAAACCATGCTGCTTGCTGGAGCTTTTTCTTCATGCTATGCTAAAGGACCATTCCCTTTTAAAGGACACATCAAATGGGCTGTAGGTGTTAAAATAAGCTTTTATAATAGCTAAGAAAGGAGGAAACTATGCAGGATTAGATTTCTTTTGAAAGCTTCAGTGGAAAGCATTGTTTCAAAAACAAAGACAAAAGCTGCCAGTTTGTTTGTCGGTTTGCTCAGGGGAGGGAAGAGAGGAATTAATCTTCTTTGGACACAGATTATGCAATGAACTAATAAACTTCCTTTGAATTTAGTACTGATGAAAGTCTTTACAGACCACAATAATCCTTTTTTTTTTTTTAAACCCCAAAAAAGCAACAGCAAAGTAAGTTCCTCACGTGCGCTCTCCTGGTAAAGGACCTCAGCCTTGACCTGGCTGGAAGGAAGATGCTCCCTTTGGTGCTCTTGGCCTGGGGCTGGGACCTGCCAAGCTCCGAGTAAAACAATGGATAAATGGAAACAGTTTTGAATTCCTGGCCAAGAGGCGCTGAAGAGAAATGGGAGAGAATGGAAATTTCTCTTTTCAAGAAGACTCTAGATATAAAAGTTTTCCTTTTCTCACATGGAACTTAAAAAAAAAGGAAGGAACAAAAGCACAGAAGAAACATTTCACAAAGTAGAATTCCAAAACCAACTAATTTCACGTCAACCATAACATTCAATAAAACCATAGATTCTATATGCATATCCATGTTTTCTTTGAAAAATAGAAATGCAGTATATAAGAATATTCTATTCCAAAAATATCAATACGGCCCTAGCCTTACCCAAACACTTAAAAATGCATTGTGACCGTAGATTAATGATACATTTTTGTGAGATGTTTTTCCTTAGTGAATCTGGCAACCAAAAATGGAAGTTTTTTTTTTTCTTTTTGTCAGTTTTAAGTGCTGAATTTGAATACTTCTTCAGCAACATTTTGAAGCAGGCAACTCTCAGTAAAAGTTGCCTTAACAGGCGAACCAAAAAAGGGGTAGGTCATTAAGAAAGATTTGCAAAAAAAAAAAAGAACATTTTTCAAAAGGTTAGGATTAAAGATGCTTTGCATCTATTATTTCTGGATTTTGGTGCTGCAATATTTATGTTCTGTTTATGCAGGAGGTGTTTATTTCTTCATTTAAGTAGATACTGTAAATACTGAATACCAAAACCTGTATTAAAAGTTTAGATAATGTTTCAAAGTCGAACACACAGGAAATTAGGAAATGCCGAAAATAAAGTTTCCTTCTGCAGATTAACTTTTTGGTACAATCTTTAATCGTGTGATCACTTTTTTTTTCCAAATGATTTCTGCCAACTAGGCATGGGACAGCTCAGTTTGGGGAATGTGTGCATGGCCAAGGAGATCCTATCTGGTGCTGAGTGCTCACCATTCCCATATCGTTTTGTGTTCCTCTGTTCACAAATTTGGCGTAAGAGACAAGGATGTGACAAAAGGAAAGGACGTGTGCTGTGGGACAAGGTCTGCAGGTAGCCTTCCCTCCCAGCCCAGGCACAAGCTGAAGAGCTGCCGCTGGTGATGGTGCTCTCAGCAAGTCAGGGAAATGCAGGCAGCGAAGAATGAAGGATAAATAATAGCAGGGAATGCAACAGGGAGCGTTGCTTCGCTCCTTACTCTGAGCTTAAGGTGGGCACTGCCTTTAGGACTTGCTTTGAAGAAAATCTCACCATTTTAGGAGATTATTTTTCTGATTTGTGAAGGTATTTGTCCTGTAATTTAAGTCAGTAAATTTTTAACTAACAAACACAAATGTTTTTGTGAATGTGGGAGGGAGCGAGCCCAGGAAAGAGATGTGGTCTTTCGTTCCATCTCTCGATAAAGAGGAACATTGAAATGATGCTGTTGCAGATAAGTGTCTTGATAGATGTCATTGATTGAATGATCTCTTTGAATTTTTACCAGAGTCTCATTTCTTTCTCTGCTCTGATTCTCATGGTCTCTCTTTAACAAAGCATCCAAAACATCAGTCAGTTGAATGAACTCCAAATCAAGCAGAGTCTCTCCCTTTCCTTCCTTCTCATCTCGGTCACCCAAGCCCTTGCCACAAATGACATTACAGCCTGCAAAGTCACGCTCAGGCCCTCGGCATACCCGGCGTGGCTCAGTGCAAGCAGCCGTGCTGGTTTTCAGTTGTAACAAGCCCACCAAGAGACTTTTATGTGGGAAAGGAGCAGATTTCCTCCCTATCATTTCAGTGCACGCTGTTTCGACCACAATAAGAATGTCCTGTCACGGGGATTTGCTAAACGCATGGTTATAATTAATCTGCTATTGTCTATAAAGTGACTTGTGAGACGGAGTCATGGAAAAAGTGCAACATGGCCTCTTTTGGGTTATGCCAAGAAATGAGAGAGGTTTGGGGATGTTTCCTTTTTTATTCTTTGTATTAAAATGACAGTGAGAGTGGCAGAAGCAAAGCATGGCATGGCTGAAGCTGTGCGTTTTGGAAAGGATGTTTCAGGGTCTGCTGTTAGAAATGCAGGTGAGAAAAAGCTGACCCTTATAGCTGTATGGAGCAAAGTCAGATCTTTTCAGACAAAAGCATTTCCCATTTGGACCAGGCAGCTAATTTGTGCAAGCATTCAGGAATTTAAATCATTGTACCCACTTTTGCAAGCAATGAGGCTTTCTGAATTTGGATTGCAACTTTAAAAAAAAAAAACACTAAAATGCAAAGTAAAGCCACTTTAATTGCTCAGTTGTCTGCAGTTGTAAGCACAGTTAATGCTCACTTTTTGACTTTGCCCTCTCTTTCTCCTCCCCCGCCCAAGAGCTACAAGGGACCGACCTTCTCCCACCGTATTTCTGCATGGGCTGCACATTCCTCTTCAAATATTGTGTTGCTTTGGATGGGACACTGAGATACCATCTCTCAGGAGGGTGGAAACTTCTCTGTCATTCCAGCAGCTCTTACAAAAGGACTATATTAAAATAATAAGGTGACATGATCATATGCTCCAAGTCAGGTGATGCCAAAAATTACATGTACCTCTGAGTTTACTGGACACCCTCCCTCGCTGGGCCACCTCCCACCTCCCCTTGTGCACACGCAGCTTATCTTTCCCAACCACATTTTTTGCTTGCTCAGTTAGCTCAAGCGTGACCATGCCTAGCTTTGGCCAGGTTTCGATGCGTATTCGTTGGCATGGTGGAGGGCAGGTCTCCGGTCCAAAGTCACCTACCCTGACCTCACCAGTTAGCAGCCCCAGAGCGTGGCTACTGCAGGGTGTCCCCACAGAGGGTCTTTGAAGATGGAGAAAATAACATTTTCTCCCAGTTTCCTTCTTCCTCCACCTGTTTTTCCTGGAATTCTTGGAATATTTCATCCTAAATGGTTGAAATCTTACACAGATGTTTTTATTGCATTTTGTTTTTTAAAAACAGATGTCAGACCATTTTAGCTGTACGTGCTACCACCTGACTGCACCCAATACATCTGCTGCACCATTAGAAAGCATTAAAGCAAGTAGGGACCACCAGACTCCTAATGATTTATGGCATCAGCTCCTGCGGTCCTCTCTCCTTGCTTGCGGTTGTGTCACTGATGCTGAAGGGTGCAGCCTCAACCAGAAATTCTGGTGCCACTTAAATCAGTGGGTGTTTTCCCATCCACTTCCATAGGGCTGAGATTTTTTACCCTTTATCTGCCATTTGTCTGCAAAGAGGCAGTAAAAATTCTGGCTCAACGGATAATATTACAAGACTATCACAAACAGACGAGTAGGAGTCATTTGTTACTCATCTTAAAACAATATGCATGTGCCAGAGGGTCTGAGTTATAAGTCCATTTTGTGGCTGTACATGGGTATATGTTCAGGGAGAGTTATGTTTTTGGAATGAGTGTTTAGGGAAATAACGGCGCGACTGCAGTTCTCCATCAAGCCCCTCTGGCAAGTTGCTGTGTGACAGGGAGCGAGTCATTAGGTGTTAGGCGAGAGGGTATTACACTTTCTGTCTTCTTCTGAGATATGAGTTGGGTTGGGAGGCAGCGAAATGAAGTGGATCCACGAACTAGGTTTTTAGATAATGGATGGGCCCTGTAATATATGCAATTTGAGAGCTGAGAAGACTGCGTATGCTGACAAGACAATGTATGTGACTAAAAGTGTGGAAATGTGGATGCTTTGTGGTTATTATCTGTTTGAAGGACAGAAGAAGATGAATCCCCTTGACCTGACAGCACTTTTACAATAGGGTTGTCTAAAATTGGGAGATTACTTCAGCTGGCAGTGTGTACTTGGAAGACAGTCTGAAAAATTCAATGTAAAGAATAAGCTTTATAAGCTTTAGAAACTGCTTCAGAACCTACTGTTTTATTGACGTCTTAAGAAAATTAAATATATAGCTTTGTCCAAGGATAGTTTCTTAAGCTCCTCAGAACAGTCAGAAGAAAATAAAAAAGCAAAAAATAGTAATCCATTAATGTGATTTTAAACAACACGTGAATTATCTGAAGAGCAGATCAATATGACACTGTACAGCTTTATTTTAAATAGCAGCTTTCCTGCAAACAGAACTAAATAATGTATAAGAAACTGGAGGGTGCATGTCTGTAAGCGACCGACTGTGATGTAAGGATTTTATAATGTGAATAAATGAAGATACTCATAAGGCTGCTTAACCTAGAAGGAGAGAAATTAAGAGGCTGAAGAGGAAAAAAAATACTGTTTTCAGGTACTGAAGATACCAAAAGTCAAGAAGGCAGAGAAGCAAACAGCACAGCTTGAAATGAAGGGTTTTCTGCTGTTAATACCGAGGTGGTAGGGAAA